TTTTTTTGGGAAAAACCAAGAAATTGAGAAAACAAATGTGAATTTTAATAATAATAAAACAACACTTATGTCTAATTGAAATTAAAAAAAAAAAATCTAACAATTTTTTATTTTAAGTATGCAACTTTTCACTTGAATTCTTAAAAATTAGGATGATCCCATTTTTAAAATGGTAATCTAATTTCCAGAAACTAACATGATTTAAATTATAATCTTACATAAATTGATAACTGATTAACCAATTTTGAACTTAAGTTCAATATTCCTTGTAAGTTTAGGACATTAATATAATCTACATTCCAACAGATGTCCAACTAAAGAAATTTGACTGTTAGGCAAATTGATATATCATACTTATTTGACAAAAATACATACCTATAGTATAAAATATCATACTTTTGTTAATATTATTTTTTAGAGTATAACATTTCAACATAAACCTGTTAATATTATATGGATGACTAAGCCTGCCTAGCCATAGCCTTACTATAAATACACCCAAAAAAAAACAAAAAAAGAACAACAGGTAATCAACCAAACGGTACAAATTCATTCAAAATGCAACTAGGATGAGTAATCCTTCTAGTTTAATCCAGCAACCAAAAAACGTTCCAAAAACCCACCTATACATTCAGAAGTCGTAAAAAAGCTTAAAGCACATCATACCAAACCAGGCATGGATCGGCACATCAAGGGTGATTACATACATACTTTTTCAAGAATAATAAACCGCTACATGTACGCTTTTACACATAGTATCGAGTAAATTATCAAGCACTCTCAGCTTTCTTCAGAGGCAGTCCAGCATCTGACTTTGAACGCTTCTTCTCATAATCTTTGACAGCCGCTTTTATTGCGTCCTCAGCAAGCATGCTGCAATGAAGTTTCACGGGTGGAAGAGAGAGATGTTTGGCAATTTCCCTGCAAAAAAATGGGTAGGTGTTATTATGAATGGGATATAACCGATAACCACAACAGAAAGTAATCAAACCTATGGCCAAAGTTGCCAAAATGACAGTCAGAAAAATACAAGTTTAAAAAAAATTCAGTAAGCGAATTGTAATTTCTGTTAACCCTTTGCAGAGAATAAAATGTAAATAAGACGTTAAGCATGTGGCATGAAAAAGATCGAGCCTCATTACTCAACAATCATCAACTTTGAAAGACAGTGTATTGATAATCCCTTATGTAGAATACAGCAAACAGAACACCACAATTAACATGAACAAATCAGTTTTTTTTACGAATATTTACAAATTATGGGAAGACACCTCCGCACAAAATCCTATAAGTTCATCTTAATTTTTGCATGAAAAAAGAGAAATAAATAATTAAATAACTTCTTACAAATTACGAGAAAGTGTCATGGTGTTGAAACAAAAGTATAAATAATGATGCACATACAAACTACAAAATATGATCGTGGGTTCACAGATGAAGAAAGCATAAGTGAAGACCATAAAGAACCGGCGAGTGGATTTTCTATTCCATTATATAAATATCACGGCTAGCAGATAATATGAAATAAGAATATAAACTTGACTTACGTATTCTTGATTGACAGGACTTCCTCCATTTGTTTACCTTTAACCCATTCGGTTGCTGCAAAAGGATAAAACATCGTCTTAGTAAAACTACATACACAACCCACGCAGCTACATTGCAAGAACAATACTCCAAAGAAACTAAGTATTCTCATCGAAAATCCAAAATCCCATCTGGGATAAAATGGCATCAATGCCATTCGAAGCATTAGTTTTCACCATCAATCGAAGAACAAGGCACCAGCTATAGACCATTCACACTCCTAACATTTCCAAAACATATAAACCTACACACAGAAGTGACTTCAAATCTAAATTAAACTGAAAAAACACAATCAATTATAATCCACTTCAACCGAATAAAACTAACTCCCCACATGCATAAAAAATCAGCAAACCAGAATAAATCACATTTCCAGCTCACCCATCTCCAACAGTAAACCCTTGAAAAAATCACATTTTCAGCTCACCCATCTCCACAAAAACACCAAATCAATCCGAACTCAGAGAACTCCCAAAACCCTCTAGATTTTCAGACAATCAACAATAATATTAAAACGACGGAAAACGCATTTACTAACTTCATCGATCACAGCAGTAACATACCAACGGAGGAAGAGGCGATAGCAGAACCGCAACCGAAGGTCTTGAAACAAGCATCGACAATCTTCCCGGTCTCCTCGTCGACCTTGATCTGCAGCTTCATGACGTCGCCGCAGGCCGGAGCTCCGACGAGTCCCGTACCGACGTTCGGATCGTCCTTGTCGAACGACCCTACGTTCCTCGGGTTGTCGTAGTGATCCACCACCCTCTCGTGGTACATCCTCAACGCCGGCACCGGCGACGCAGTGGATCGCAGCCCACTGCCCAGAATCCTGTTCGCTGCGTGCCTCAACATTTTCTGAAAATCGAGTCGCAAATGAGATGGCTCTGTAGCTAGGGTTTGTCAGATTTGGGGGAAAAAAATGAGGTATTAAGTTTTAATGTTTAATTGTTTATCGTGAAGGCTGTGATAAGATTACAGGCCCATCGTGGTTTTCCGTGAATGCTTGATTGTGATTGGATGATATAAATTATAATACTTTTTTTCTGTTTTATGTTGGCAACAATTAATTGTTTTAATGATTTTTGAAAAATGGGAGGTAATAATAACTAAAATTATGCAACTGTTATAAAATACGGGGAATATAAAGAACGCAATGTATAGAAACCGGATATAAACTGTAACAGATTTCTTTCTTTCTTTCACTTCTTTTTCCTTCACTTTCGTACATCAC